TTATTAGTTCAGCCGTTTCGACCTTTATTTGAAATTTTAAAAACACTAAGAAAACTAAATTTAAATGAGTATTTGTCATAATATTAACAGCTAGCAGAGAGGAATCCACAAAAGTGCAAAATCGAAATAACAAGTTTGTAATATTTATGATAAGATAAGAAATACTAATTAACTACTACTAACTTCTTTTGTAAATATCAAAGTGATTAAAAACTACATTTTTTTCACAGTTAGGTCATAACATGGCTTAAAGAAATATTTTGGATTTTCAATCCGCTCTCAGAAAAAAGTTTATTGATCCTTGACTAGAAAAAATGGATCCAAGTATAAAAATATGGGAGGTAGAAATGGGAAGATATGTACACCTTTAAACACGATAGAAACGGGATGCAAGTGTTGGAGGGAAGGGAAGGGCCGTAATAACTATTAGATTTAATTCATAAACATTTAAAGTCTGTTAAAATATATTGAATTAAGTAAAATTTTACCAATTCCATCGGTGCACAATGCACAATGTACGTCACTTCGTACAAAAAAAAATGTGGAAAACTATAATAAATCATTTTGTCCAAATCTAAATAAAACAATGTTTTAAGTTACCTCAGCCATTCTAGCACTGATTCTTCATTTTCATTATCAGCTGGGTTCTCTGGATTCTAAAACAACAAAACATCAATTTTTAAGTTAAAAATATTTTCAAAATATATTCTGACGAGTAATGATTTTTTTTCAAATATCATAACATAAAATGTTAAGAATAAAATAAATGAGGGGAGGGGGGAGGTAGAATTTTTCGTCATACTGAACATTTTTTAAATATTCCTCCCCTGCTATATAATAAGTCGAGAATTCTCACACTTAAAGGGACTGTACGCATAATTTTAATGACCTTCCATGCAAACATGACAATGCCCGATTTACACGGTACTCTTGAAAGCCTTTTCTGATCAACTATGAATGAATGAGATATACTTTGGAGAAAAAACTCAGCGGGAGCGGTTGAACGAGCGGTTGAGATCTACTCGACGCAGTCTAGAATAAGAAATGCATTTTTTTTCTCAAATTTGAAATTTGTACACGCTATAAGTTCAATTTTTGGGTTTCTAATTTTCAACAACTTTTTGCTTTCAACCATTAAAACCAAGTTTTTCTTGAAAAACGTTTTTGCTTTAAACCGCTAGGTTTAAGAATTTAAATATTTTTTTTGCTTTCAACCGCTGGTTTTCAGATTTTTCAGCAATTTTTTTCTTTCAACTGCTGTGTTTAAGATTTTCAAAAACTTTTTGCTTTTAGCCACTGAAAAATAATTTTTCTTAAAAAATGTTTTTGCTTTCAACCGCTGGTTTTAAGATTTGTCAGCAACTTTTTGCTTTCAACCACTGGAAAACAGTTTTTCTTGAAAACGTTTCTATTTAAAACCATTGGGTTTAAGATTTTTTAGCAAGTTTTTTGCTTTAAGGGTTTAAGGTTTTTCAGCAACTATTTTGCTTTCAACCGCTGGGTTTAAGGTTTTTCAGCAACCTTTTGCTTTTGAACAAATATTTGCTTTAAAAGTTTTTTAAAAATGTGGATACCAAAGCAAAAAAGTTATTTTAAATCTTAAACCCAGCGGTTGAAAGAAAACTTTTTTCAAGAAAAACTGTTTTCCAATGGTTGCTGAAAAATCTTTAAGCCAGCGGTTGAAAGCAAAACGTTTTTTAACAAAACTTTTTTTTCAGTGGTTGAAAGCAAAATGTTATTTAAAATCTTCAACCCAGCAGTTAAAAGAAAAAAGTGGCTGAAAATTTTAAGACCAGCTGTTTAAAGCAAAAAAACATTGAAAGAAACAATTGAAAGCAAAAGCATGTTTTAACAAAAAGGTTGTTTCATTGATTGAAAGCAAAAAGTTTTTTTTTCTAGATTACTTACAGTCTAGGCTATATCTCAACTGCTCGTTTATCCGCTCCCGCTGAGTTTTTTTTCCAAAGTATATATTATTTTCATTTGAGGTTTCCCTTCGAAAGTGACTGGCGTATTCTTTGTTTATAAGAAGTAATGGAGAAACTCAAAGAAATAAACACCTTTCGAGTAAAAAAAAAAACCGACGGTTTCTTTCACAATTTAAACCAGATTGAGGTTTCGCGGTGGTATTCGAGCATTGCCATCTTTGTATGGAGGATTACTTAAAATTACGCTCACAGTCTCTTTAAGATTGCAAATCATACCTGATCTAACAGCCAAGTGCTCTCTTCTCCGTCCAAAGCATCGATGTCTATCAACTCAATATCATCTAACCCTAAATCGACCATTCACTCAGAATATTTGTAATGGGGTGTATTTGCTTAATTACTTGCGCCCCCGCCCCCACCTTTTTAATATATAATCATCATTAAAAAATAATTATTTCAAGATTTCCCCTTTTAAGTGCACTTATATTCACTAAGCGTTAGAAAAAACATTGTCTTAAAAAAAAAGATTTTAAAGAAGGAAAGGTACACAATTCCCTTATCTTAAAATTCCCTAAAATTCTGTTTACTTCTATTAACACAACACAAATAAATTGTATCGCAAAAGGGATGAGAAGAATTTAAGTATAAAAAATCAGGTTTGAAATCCGCTATGATCAAAAACGAAAAAGATTCATAGACGTTTATTGCAATAATAATAGAGTAATAAGGTTCCTAAATGAGCGGAATCAGGTTTACTCTTGTATCTCTCAACACCGGTCTCCGTTTCCACGTTTTCCACGTTCTCCTCCTTCTCCCCAAAACGATGGTTCCGTCGGAGAGTAGCATTCTGCTTTTCAAGAGCTCGAACCTTATCCTAAAACAATAGAAAACATGATAATAGAAGTGTGGATGAATCAGGAAGTTGACAACCACATAACTTTTGACATTTTTATCCATAAAGCATTGGAGTTCTGTAAAAGATTTTGAACAGAGGGGACAAAAACACTTGTTTTTTGAGGAACTATTAAGAAATGAATTCATGAAGTATTGGTAATTTTAATATATGAACCCCGCATTGTGAAGAATGAAGTGTATTAAAAATCATCCTCCAGATTGAACAGAATGGTTTTGAATCCCACTATAAATACGCGGAAAGTAGTGCGGTAATTTCCTAGAGAACGATTTTTGGACTATACTCCCCGCCCCCCCTTACAATTTTGTACATGCATCTCATATTTATCACATGGATAATGTTGGACATGTAACCGCAGCGCCGGCCCCCTAGCCTGTCCTGGCCCCCTCGCCTGTCCTGGCCGCAGCGCTTGGCCCGGAAAGTGTCTGGTAATTTCCTCATATATGATTTTCGTAACACATGGATATAATTGGTCATGTGGCCGCAGCATCCGGCCCCCAAGCCAGTACAGCCGCGGCGCTCGGCCCCCTAGCCTGTCTTAGCCACGGCGCTCGGCCCAGAAATTGTCTTAACCTAACCTAACCCTAAAATAATAAAAAAATAATAATATTTTTGCGGACTAACTTCTAACTTATAACTATTGTTATAAGTTTTAAAAATGTGTTAGAAAATTTTAATATACCTGTAGTTTTTGTAACTGACTCAACGCTGCGTCACTCATACTTCCAACGCCAGTGTTGGCGTTTATATCCGGCGAAATCATCGAGTCAAACCATTCCTAATTCGAAAATTAACAATTTCTGAATATTTCACAAAAAAATTCACGATATTAGTTTAACTAAAATTCCAAAAATATATTTGGTTTGGAACTAAACAGCTGATCGCTGCTGAGATCACTTCTATTAGTCTCAAAACTTAGTCTAACATTTTCTCCGTCTGTATGGCCTCGGAAAGATTGAGTCGGACTGATCCAATTCCTAAGCCGAGTGAGTGAACACTGAACGAACAGCCTAATTTTTGCACTCAGACCTTTCTCTGCCTCCTTTCGCTACGGCATGGACGGGGAAAACTAGTTCTGTTGGTTCTACGCAAATTTTATTTAACTCTACGCAGAGATTTCAAAATATTTCGCGGCAAATGCACACAAGGGTTTTAATAATAACAATAATAGCTTTCTTTACAGAAATACATAAAAAGTATGAGGTTTACTGATAGCTACGAATGTCAGACAAAAAAAAACTGGTATAATCCTAGAGAACGATTTTTGGACCCCTCCCGCCCCCCCCCTCCTATCAATTTTGTACATGGATCTTACAGAAAGTGGCT